GAAGTTTAGTCAGTACTTCTACTTTCACCAGAGTATTTTTAAACACGAGCATCTGTACTTCTACTTGAGTAAAGGATGTGTGTACTTCTACTTGAGTAAAGGATGTGTGTACTTCTACTTGAGTACAGGATGTGTGTACTTCTACTTGAGTAAAGGATGTGTGTACTTCTACTTGAGTACAGGATGTGTGTACTTCTACTTGAGTAAAGGATGTGTTTACTTCTACTTGAGTACAGGATGTGTGTACTTCTACTTGAGTACCGGATGTGTGTACTTCTACTTGAGTACCGGATGTGTGTACTTCTACTTGAGTACAGGACGTGTGTACTTCTACTTGAGTACAGGACGTGTGCACTTCTACTTGAGTAAAGGATCTGTGTACTTCTACTTGAGTACAGGACGTGTGCACTTCTACTTGAGTAAAGGATGTGTGTACTTCTACTTGAGTAAAGGATGTGTTTACTTCTACTTGAGTACAGGATGTGTGTACTTCTACTTGAGTACCAGATGTGTGCACTTCTACTTGAGTACAGGATGTGTGTACTTCTACTTGAGTACAGGATGTGTTTACTTCTACTTGAGTACAGGACGTGTGCACTTCTACTTGAGTAAAGGATGTGTGTACTTCTACTTGAGTAAAGGATGTGTTTACTTCTACTTGAGTACAGGATGTGTGTACTTCTACTTGAGTACCAGAGTGTGTGCACTTCTACTTGAGTAAGGATGGTGTGTACTTCTACTTGAGTAAAGGATCTGTGTACTTCTACTTGAGTACAGGACGTGTGCACTTCTACTTGAGTAAAGGATGTGTGTACTTCTACTTGAGTAAAGGATCTGTGTACTTCTACTTGAGTACAGGACGTGTGCACTTCTACTTGAGTAAAGGATGTGTGTACTTCTACTTGAGTAAAGGATGTGTTTACTTCTACTTGAGTACAGGATGTGTGTACTTCTACTTGAGTACCAGATGTGTGCACTTCTACTTGAGTACAGGATGTGTGTACTTCTACTTGAGTACAGGATGTGTTTACTTCTACTTGAGTACCGGATGTGTGTACTTCTACTTGAGTAAAGGATGTGTGTACTTCTACTTGAGTACAGGATGTGTGTACTTCTACTTGAGTAAAGGATGTGTTTACTTCTACTTGAGTACAGGATGTGTGTACTTCTACTTGAGTACAGGATGTGTGTACTTCTACTTGAGTACCGGATGTGTGTACTTCTACTTGAGTACAGGACGTGTGTACTTCTACTTGAGTACAGGACGTGTGCACTTCTACTTGAGTAAAGGATCTGTGTACTTCTACTTGAGTACAGGACGTGTGCACTTCTACTTGAGTAAAGGATGTGTGTACTTCTACTTGAGTAAAGGATGTGTTTACTTCTACTTGAGTACAGGATGTGTGTACTTCTACTTGAGTACCAGATGTGTGCACTTCTACTTGAGTACAGGATGTGTGTACTTCTACTTGAGTACAGGATGTGTTTACTTCTACTTGAGTACCGGATGTGTGTACTTCTACTTGAGTACAGGATGTGTTTACTTCTACTTGAGTACCGGATGTGTGTACTTCTACTTGAGTACAGGATGTGTGTACTTCTACTTGAGTAAAGGATGTGTGTACTTCTACTTGAGTAAAGGATGTGTGCACTTCTACTTGAGTACAGGATGTGTGTACTTCTACTTGAGTAAAGGATGTGTGTACTTCTACTTGAGTACCGGATGTGTGTAATTCTACTTGAGTAAAGGACGTGTGTACTTCTACTTGAGTACCGGATGTGTGTACTTCTACTTGAGTACCGGATGTGTGTACTTCTACTTGAGTAAAGGATGTGTGTACTTTTACTTGAGTACAGGATGTGTGCACTTCTACTTGAGTACCGGATGTGTGTACTTCTACTTGAGTACCGGATGTGTGTAATTCTACTTGAGTAAAGGACGTGTGTACTTCTACTTGAGTACCGGATGTGTGTACTTCTACTTGAGTACCGGATGTGTGCACTTCTACTTGAGTACCGGATGTGTGTACTTCTGCCTCTCTGCTCGTGATGAAGAATGACGCAGCGTCACCGCAGAGTTTCATCACCAGAACTGACTTCACAGCTTCAGTCTCTTCGACTCTTTCTCGGAGCAGATGGAAAACGCTTATCACATGAAGGAAGATCCCAGTTCCTGCAGGTTAGAGACGGACTGAGGCTGTCTGTCAGCGCTTTGAGGGGTCCTAAAGACCTGATAGAGCCATGTGGAACGCTGATGTGGAAGTGGTTCAATCCAAACTGGGTTGGGAAAACAACAGACGCGACCTGGACAGGAAGTGACCACCCGCTGAGGGTTCATTCATCTCACTGTCAGGGGCTCCGCTTGCCGACAGGCAAGGCAGGCAACTACTCGGGGCCCCTGACCAGAAGGGGGCCCCCAAAGAAGGTCGATTTAAGAAGGTCCACAGCAACGACAACATGAAACACCCTTTAATTTACTGCAACGACATGTCGGGAAACCCCCTCATGCATAGGGCGCCGTAAAATGCTGCTTGTTATCTTAAGTTTTGTTGCCTTGCTCTGCTCTGCTCGGGGGGGGGGGGGGGGGGGGGGGGGGGTTGTCGGCTGTGGTGATGAAAAGCTGGTTGGAGTGAATGTTTGCCTAGGGCCCCCACACACTCTAGAATCGCCATTGCTCACTGTATTTATTCACAGACACTTGATAGAGCATGTACAGTCAGCTGACAGAATGGAAACACGTGGGATTGTGCAAATCGATCTGAAGCTCGACAGTTTTTAGGATATCGAACATGTCTGGAGTCAGTGAGGAGTTATTAAAGGAGTGCTCTTTAGCTCGACGTTAGAAGAAGCACTTACAAATGTCTAACTGAAGATGAAATTGAGGAGGAGGAGGTCGCTCAGTTCAGATGATGAAGTCTCCCAGCTGCTCTTTAACCTGTTAAACCCCAAGGGAGGGGACCCTGGTTTGTTTTTTTCACGACACTGTGTCTCAGGGGATCGTAATATTTAAGAACCTATTAATGTGTTATACCAGATTAACGGGAATAATCTCAGCTAATTGACGATACAAACCATTTTTACCAAAATAAAACACAAGTCTCATAAGAAGCATCTAAATGACCCCTGAGCGAAAAATGCTAACGCACTTTGGCACAGAACTCAAGATAAAAGTACCATTATTACTTATCGTAGCTGCACATACAAGATATCCGATTAAAGCTGAGGTTCCACAGATTATGTAGGTATATAGTATCATCACTGAGTGATCTGAACTCGGACAGGGGAAGCAAACACAGACATCACAACACATACCTTTACGGAGCTTCTAGGGAGATCGTCTCACCGTAGCTGTCAATCTGATCAAAAGACGTGTTCAATGGCATTAAAACGAGAAAAAACGCGGCTGAATCGGTTAATCCATAGGTTTTTAACGTCTCTGTATACAAAAATGATTTCATTTATAATCCATAATTCCATTTTTATGTAAAAATCGCAGAGCAAAAGTTAGCTGCTAATGGTAGCCACCATGCTGCTTCCGGTCTTGGCAATGCGGCAGTCTAACACACACATTACCAAATAAGGACTAGGTGGGAGTTCCCCTCGATTCCATTGGCTCTGACGGTCAGAAAGGTATGTCACATGTCAAAATCGACCAAAGGGGGCCAGAGATATGGAAAATCCACCCAAATGACCCAGAAGAGGTTTTTTTTGCTAAACCTCTCTAAAAAGGTCAAATATCACTTGTTTTGCATCAGTCTTGATACAGGGTACTTATTATATATTGTACTTTGGATTCCTATAGCTTTTAGTCTACCTTACCATCATCCAAGGTTAGTTTTCACTATAAGTACAACATGTTTTTTGGACGGACACTATAATTTACAGTTTTTTCAATCTGAATTTTCTTTAAAATAAAAAACATCTATATTGATTCTGACTGTTCTTCATCCAACTCACAGGTTTATCATTACTTTGAGAACAAAGATTATTGATGTAACCCTTTGAGAAGATATGGTCATTTGTTCTGGGAATGTCCTTTTGGAGCCTGAGACCTGGAAAACAGGCTCGGGGTTTAACAGGTTAAATGTATTTGACAGGCCTTGTCCAGAGCATGTGATCTGGGAGTAAAGTGTGTGTGCAGCCTGATGGAAATGTGCTGAGTCATTGCGTAATGATTAATCATCCTTAGAGGACTTATCCACTGTGAACTCAAGAGTGAGGGCACGCTGCCAGAGACACAGCCGGGAGATTATTTATCAGGACCGACTGTTCCTCAGTCCTGGTTTCACAATCGGACCCTGACCACACATTGACCCTGTGATCCGGATCCAGCCAGATCCTGCAGGAAGTGTTTTCATCGAAATCAATTCAGGTTTCCTCAGAAAGCGGGCAAAGAGTTCACATTCAGTCACTTCACAAGGACTTACTGTAAACACCAGCGCTGTGTTTATCCTCGCCTGGTGATTTATATGTGAAGGATTCCTGGGAGTCAGTGAGCTGTAGCACTCCCAGCAGCTGCAGCTCAACCCTGCACAAACTCCCTGATGCTCGGAGCAGATTGACTTTCTGAAAACCTTTCCATGAACCTCTGTGGGACTCCTTCACTTTCCCAGCATTTAGTTTACAGTTGTGCAGGAATGAGTCCTAAACCCTCAGCATCACTTCCTGTCTCCTAGTCTGGAGGTCAATGGTTCTCTGAATGTGTTTTTGTTGTTATCCTGAAATCAGGTCTGAGGTTAACTCAAGCTGAGGAGACTTTAACGCTTTGTTCTACCACCTAGCATACTTCAGTACATACCACACTGGGGAGTTTAAAAACGGAGGTTGCTATCAAAAACGTTTGTTTGACTCAGAGATAATTTTCTGACATAATCCAAAATCACAAGCAGGAATCCCGTTGAGAAGTAGGAACATTTCCTCCTAGACTTCTAAACAACCTGTCAGTCTGAAGGTCGGATCTGACGTTCTTCCTGCTGATTGGTGGTGTGTTTGCTCCTCAGATGGTGGAGCCTGTGGATCTGTTCTGGAAGTGCGGCCTGGCCAACCCTCACACCACCCACTGCCTGGGCAACGGGCAGATCATGATCAGCTGCATGGGAGAACCAGGGGGCAACGGCAAGGGTGAGACCCCCTGCAGACACCCTCACTACAAACAGCCCAACCCCTCTCACTGAGACCCTTTATTAGCTGAAGACTCCGATTGCTGATAGGCTTTATGGATATATCCCATCATAAAGACAGACAGTGAACACACCATCTGCAATAACAATAGATAAACCCTCAGAGATCTCTGTGTCTCCTATCTGCCATAGACTGTAGGCTCTTTATTTACATCTCTTTCAAACATCTGGAAGACCCCGTTCTGTTTTTACCTGTCCTCCTCTCAGGGGGCTTCGTGCTGCTGGACGGTGAGACGTTCGAGGTGGTCGGAAACTGGGAGCACCCGGGGGAAGCGGCACCATTTGGATACGACTTCTGGTACCAGCCGCGACACAACGTGATGATCAGCACCGAGTGGGGGGCGCCCAAAGCTCTGGCCAATGGGTTCAACCCGGACCACGTCAAAGAGGGTGAGTCAGCAGCAGGTTGCAGAGCACATGGTCCTCTGGTGGCATCTCTGCATCGGCTCTGTGTGTAACCGCGGTTCCTAAGACCTGTCAGCAGCACAGGGTGGTTTTATCGGACCCAACTAAGACTCCAATTAGTGCGTCTGGGTCCTGAGTTCCTTTTCCAGTACACTTCCAGTTGGTAAGATAACATAAGAAGTACTTTATTGATCCCAATTTGGGAGCATACAAAGACATGGAATTGTACATAAAAAATTCAAAGACTAGAAATAAACAATCCAAAATGTAAACATCTCTATAGAAATAAAATGGCATTAGAAAAAAAAGAAGAAAATATACATTGAATTACAGATGTACAGTAACACAAGATAAAGCAGGATATTGTATATATACTTCTATGGGATCTGTTTCCCAGTCTGTAACACAGGGAGTTCTGCTAGACTTCCAGCTCAGTGTTGCCCTCTGGACAGAACCAGAGCCTCGCTCACAGGACTTCCTTGTTGTGGTTCTCAGGACTGTACGGCAGCTCGCTCCACATCTGGGACTGGACCAGCCACAGGAAGCTGCAGACGCTGGACCTCGGGGAAGATGGGGCGATCCCCCTGGAGCTCCGGTTCCTCCACGACCCCGACGCCACCGAGGGCTACGTGGGATGTGCTCTGAAGGGATCCGTCTTCAGGTTCTACAAAACACCTGTCAGTACCACAGGGTTCTAGATCTTAGTAAGACTTGAATCAGTACCAAAGGGTTCTTGATCTTAGTGAGACTTGAATCAGTACCACAGGGTTCTAGATCTTAGTAAGACTTGAATCAGTACCACAGGGTTCTAGATCTTAGTAAGACTTGAATCAGTACCACAGGGTTCTTGATCTTAGTGAGACTTGAATCAGTACCACAGGGTTCTAGATCTTAGTAAGACTTGAATCAGTACCACGGGGTTCTTGATCTTAGTGAGACTTGAATCAGTACCACAGGGTTCTAGATCTTAGTAAGACTTGAATCAGTACCACGGGGTTCTTGATCTTAGTGAGACTTGAATCAGTACCACAGGGTTCTAGATATCAGTAAGACTTGAATCAGTACCACAGGGTTCTAGATCTTAGTAAGACTTGAATCAGTACCACAGGGTTCTAGATCTTAGTAAGACTTGAATCAGTACCACAGGGTTCTAGATCTTAGTAAGACTTGAATCAGTACCACAGGGTTCTAGATCTTAGTAAGACTTGAATCAGTACCACAGGGTTCTAGATCTCAGTAAGACTTGAATCAGTACCACAGGGTTCTAGATCTTAGTAAGACTTGAATCAGTACCACAGGGTTCTAGATCTTAGTAAGACTTGAATCTGTACCACAAGGTTCTTGATCTTAGTAAGACTTGAATCAGTACCACAGGGTTCTTGATCTTAGTAAGACTTGAATCAGTACCACAGGGTTCTTGATCTTAGTAAGACTTGAATCAGTACCACAGGGTTCTAGATCTTAGTAAGACTTGAATCAGTACCACAGGGTTCTTGATCTTAGTAAGACTTGAATCAGTACCACAGGGTTCTAGATCTTAGTAAGACTTGAATCAGTACCACAGGGTTCTAGATCTTAGTAAGACTTGAATCAGTACCACAGGGTTCTTGATCTTAGTAAGACTTGAATCAGTACCACAGGGGTTCTAGATCTTAGTAAGACTTGAATCAAC